AATAAAAAAATAACTTGTTCATAAAATTTGATAAAACTTACAAAATTGAAGCATGAAATGTTAAACTTTCTTTATAAACGTGATTATATAGTCACAAGAAAATATGAAGTATGATTAGATGTGTTATTATTTTTATAGTCAAGATGTCAATTGACAAGAGTTGGATACATCTGAAAAAATGGTTGTCTGATCATTATTGGGAAGGGTTATTTGCGTTTATCAATATTGCCAAAGATTATGTCGATAAAAGTGGTTGTACAAGTTGTCTATGTCAGAGGTGTTTAAACCATAAGTGTTTTCTTGTAGAAATAGTTAGAGCACACATACACCAATATGGTTTCAATCCTTTATATACGACGTGGTATTACCATGGTGAAGACGATGTTGTGATAAATCTAATAAATGAATCAGTTGACGAGATGGTTGCATTTATACATGATTTTGTTGGAAATAACTCTGATCATGATATGATGGAGGAAGTAGAAGCTGACGTGTTAGGTGATGCACAACACGATGAATTTAAAGAGTTGTTATCTGAGCCCAAATCGGCATTGTATCCAGGGTGTACTAAGTATTCCTCATTGAATTTTTTGCTGAAACTCATGCATTTAAAGGTGCTGCACAAATGGTCCAATGAGTATGAACTCTGTTTTGAAGCTGTTGAAAGATGCATTTCCTGAAGGAATTAAACTTCCAGATTCGTATTACGAGGCGAAGATGAAATTGGGTAAACTCAATTCGGGCTACAAAACAATACATGTCTGTAAGTATGATTGTGCGTTATTCTAGAAGGAGAATGCTGATCTACAGATTTTTTGAGGATGTAACACCAGCCGTTGGAAGAGTAAAAAAATAAAAGGTAAAAAGTACCTCAGAAAGTATTACGATATTTTCCTTTGAAATATCGATTGAGGCATCTGTATAGCTCGCATCACACTGCAAAGGAAATGACGTGGCACATGCAGGGGCGTTTGAAGGATCCAGACTTAATGCGTCATCCAGTTGATGGTAGGGAGTGGAGAGATTTAGATATGAAGTATCCTGAATTCGCTCGTGAACCAAGAAACGTTCGATTAGGTTTAGCTACTATTGGTTTTAATCCTTTCAGAACCATGAGCTTATCATATAGTATGTGGCTGGGGGGTCTTATTGCTTACAATTTACCTCCTTGGTTATACACTAAGGATCCGTATAAGATGTTAACATTGTTGATTCCCGGCCGAAATGCTCCTAGAAAAGATATTGATGTATTTTTGTGACCACTTCTTGATGAACTTAAACAGCTGTAGGAAGAGGGAATCATTGTTCGTGACGCTACTTCAAATGCATCGTTTAAGATGTGTGCTGCATTTCTAATGACTATCAATGATTATCCTGCACGTGCTAGTTTGTCTGGCTGGAGTGGACATGTGTATTTAGCATGTTCGTCATGTAATGATGCGACACCATCAAAGAGGTTGATGAGTAAAAACTATTTTGTTAGGCATCGACGGTGGCTTCCTATTGGACATAGAATGAGAAACATTAGTAAGTTTGATGGTAAGGTTGATAATTGTGCTCTTCCGCCTCAGAAGTCTGTCAAAAAAATATTATTTTAATTACAGAACGTCAGATCCAGATTGCCTGGTAAACATGAAAAGTTTGGCGGTAAGAAACGAAAGAGACAATCTGCAGAGCTTAACTGGACAAAGAAGAGTATTTTTTGGGAACTACCATACTGGACTTCATTATCAATTTGTCACAACTTAGATGTCATGCATATAAAAAAAAATGTATGTGATAGCTTGTTAGGTACTATTCTTAGTATCGATGGAAAAAATAAAGATACAGACAAAGCGATGATCGACTTACAGAATATGGGGATTCGCAAAGAGTTACATTTATACAAAGATGGTGATCAATGGATGAAATCACCTGCAGTTTACGCGTTAACCAAAACTGATAAGCAGAGGTTCCGTGAATTTTTAAAGTCTATTTGATTTCCCGATGGATTTGCCTCGAATTTAAAAAATATATAAAATTGATGGGAACACAAATATCAGTGGGTTAAAATCACACGACTGTCATGTTATAATACAGCGATTGTTACCGACTGGGATTCGCCCATTCATGAAAAAGGAAATTGTTGATGCAATAACAAAACTGAGTAATTTCTTTCAGTTGATATGTTCCAGAACATTAAGAATTTTAGATTTAGAGAAAGCCTAAGAAGATATAATTCTTATCCTGTGCAAGTTAGAAACAATATTCCCGCCAGCTTTCTTTGACATAGTGGTTCATTTGTTGATGCATCTACCAGAAGAAGCCATTCGTGGAGGACCTATTTATTTAAGGTGGATGTATCCATTTGAACACTTTCTTGGATCGTTGAAGAAATATGTTCGCAATCATGCTCGTCCGGAGGGATCAATTGTCGTCACAAAAGAAATATTTACGTTGAAGAAATATTTGCGACGACATTTCTAAGGTGTCGTCGCAAATAGATCACATTACTAGCGACGACAGTGTCATCACAAAAGGTTTTAAAACTTTTGCGACGACACTATACCATCGCAAATACTCTACAACACGTCATCATCAACGACATATTCGACGAAACATTCACGACAACTTATTCACGACAACTGTCATCGCTACTATATTTGTGACAACAGCTCAAAAAATTGTCGTCGCAAATATATCATTTGCGTCTAATTTTTGGCAGCGACTAATTTACGACGACATATCGTCAAAAATTCAGTATTTGTGACGACATATCACCTATTTGCAACGACATTGTGTTGCAACAAATGATCTTTTTTAGTGTCAATCTAATGTTTAGAATATGTAGGGAAATATAGGTCTCGTGATGTAGCGTTATACGATATACAATTAAACACTACTGTCTTCTTCATATAAAAAATACTATACTTTTCTCTTTTTTTTTCTTTTCTTTTTTTCTTCATTTTAGGTGCATTCAAATACGGAGTCTTCTTTGTTTTTATCTCCTCCCACATATCCCTTTAGTAATATTTATATCATGTCGATTAAAATGTCAAGTCAATTAAATTAGGGTGGGTATATTACAGTGGTCTATCATACTTTACTCACATTCTTTATCAAGATCTATATAGCCTAAGTAATTTTGGCATGAACATCGAGTTTTTATAAGATTTGTTAAAAAACATTAGTTTTGAAATGATTATTTTCAACACTCTATATTCGAGCACATATTCAAATTTTACGCCCAACAGTTTGACTTATAAATTATCTGCATATCTAATGAGGACTGCTAACGTCACTCTTTCTGTCACTCTCTTCATTCATTATTTAACATGTAGACTCTACTATCTCAATTCTATTTAACTAATAATATATTATGTTTATAGAGTCCACGCGTCAAACAGTGAATGTAGAGAGTGACAAAAAGAGTGACGCTAGTATTTCTCTATATTCAAATAATGAGGTTCGGATCACAGTTCAAACTGTAACACCTCAAGGCCCCATGGGGTCTATCTTCCAGGACCTCAGCATAGTCGGGTCTTATACTCATTACTCATACGAACTGTCCTTTCTGGGCACCTAGCGGCCCTCAGAGATTTCTTTCGCATCCCTTAACACTTAAACGTAAGACCTCCCTCCTTATAAAGTTCTTAAGTCAAGTGTGGTTTGAATTGCAGTCCATATTAAAGTTTGGACATGTAGTTAAAGTTGTAAATTTAAAAAGTGAATAGAATCTAAATCTATGTCTTAATATGTGTTAAAAATATAAATTTGGCAGAAAATATGCGTGAAAAAAGAAAAAACTGAAATGAGAAATAATTTACACTGTGAAAAATGGTTTTGATTTTACTAATTTAAGAAAAGGTTTCCAAATCTAAATTATGGCTTCATTTGGTTCATATTTCCGTATTATTGCCATCTGAACGATTTGGTTTACACAAAACTTTAAATATGCAGATAATTTTGTTATGAATGGTAATTCATAATAAAATGACACAAATCTGTGTTTATTTTTTACTCTGAACACATGAAAAGAAGAATTTGAGTTTCAATAGTGTAAATAATCATTTAAAAATTTAGTGGCACGACACAAATCTTATAAATCTTCAATTTTCATGCTTGAATTACCTAGGCTATATGGATCTTGCCTTGTTTATTTTTCACTCTAAACACATGGAAAGAAGAATCGTCTCAATCACAGTTGAAATGAAGAGCTTATAGTATTTTAAAGCATGAGTTTATATAGAGGTAGGAGAAAAAAACAGTATGCATGAGTTTATATAGAGGTAGAAGAGAAAAAAACAATATGCATGAGTTTATATAGAGGTAGAAGAGAAAAAAATAGAAAATAAATGTGTGTTACTCGGTAAAAAATTAAGTTTTTTTTTCGCTCAACTAAATATTACTTCCCATTTGATAACCTATTTACTACTAACACAAGTAGCGTGCCACATCATTAACCATCTACTAATTTAAACTGTTGAGATCAATCTGAATGGTCCTAATAGAGTGAATGTTTCGATCTGTCAAATAATACCGGAAGGACTGTAGAAACACCCTATATTTATATTTATGTGGTACAATAATTTTAAAATGCAATAATTTTTTTCCTTAAATTAAGATGGGGTGTGCAATGAGTAATTTTTGTGAGTACTTTTGTTCTTAGAAGTAGTTTACTAATAGGTAAATTCCATAATAAAATAATTTATCAAAAAGAGTGTGTGAAGAGTAAAACAAAAGGTGACAATAGACTCTTTCTTAAAGTATTATATCAAATCAATTAAATAATCGTATTATTTATTAAGAGTTTAACTAATATGACACGATACTATCGAAAAAGACACAAAAAGAGGACACAAACAAAATGCATATGTAATCTGAATCCATTTTGTAGTTATTTTTTCCAAATATGGTGAAGAAAAATGAAGAAATAATATATAGAGTGAAAAAAAAAAAAAAAAAAAAAGGCGGGCCCCCTTGATAAATTCCAAAACCAACTCTGAAACACTCGCACATGACTTCCAAAATATAAGATCACTAGCTAATATAATAGCCATAATATGATCATCTATAATTTTGCCCACTCAATTAATAACAAGTATATATCATCATAATCGGTCACATAGTTTTGACCACTTTACAAAAAGGACTCTGCCAAAAGTATTAATGTGCTTCAACCGCCGACAGGCATGATAAGGCCCACACTTGACCATCCACGAGTACTAGACGTTAATCTAAAAAACTCGTCTTCCGACTCAACAAAAGGGTTATTCCAAAACCTACTTATTGACTCGCTTTGTTCATGTTGATCATAATATTGTCTCTCTCCAACCCTTATCAATCTCAGATTATCTTCTCTTTTCTCCACCATAATTTCCACAACCTTTAATTTCACCTGACCAATCAAATCCCAAAAATCACTATCTCTTTTCCTAAACAAAAACATGGACAACAACCTCTCTTTGCAATCCTCCAACCTCTTCAAAGCATTTAGGATCCGAGTCAACTCGTCATAACTCGCACCCTTCATTCTATCTCCCATTTCCTTGATCCTCAACGAGAGCTCATATTGAACCAACTTGTAATCTTCACCAACAAGCCTCGCCACTTTGTACACCAAGTCGTTCTTCTGGAGATCGTACCACGAATCGGGCGCGTCGCGCGTGCGTTCCACGAAACCGACGAGAGCGTCTATTTCGCTTAACAACTCCGAGCTCAACAGCGCCAATACCTTCTCTTCTCTGTCTTTCGTGATGTCAAAATTGCCTAAAGTTTTAATATTGGAGCAGAAGTAGTACCCTAGAGCCCGCGAAACCATGAGATTCTGCTCCACTATTGCCGCGTACCACCTCACCCACGACGACAACCGCCACGAGGCTGTGTCCGATTCGTCGCGGAACGTCGAGAGGTTGAGGAAATTGTGGCCGCCGGAAGAAGGGGAGACTGAGAGCTGGTCCCTGAGAATGAAGGAGCCTCTGGAGACGATGTTGTGAGCGACGACGAGGCACTTGAGGGCGACGACCGCGCTGCGCGTGTGGTTGAGGCGGTCCATGAGGGCCTCGATGCAGGCGCGGGAGGTGCGGCGGGAGCCCTCGCAGCCGAGGACGGCGGAGATGCGATGCTCCGGGGGAGGAGACGACAGGTCGTGAGTGGTGGCGCGTAGGACGGAGACGCGCGTGGACGAGGCGTGGCGGCTGGCGATTGAGAGAGTTGCTTTGATGAGAGAGGCTTTGTCTTTGAGAATTCCGATTAGATTTTGTAGTTTTCTTGCCATTTAGATAGATTGGAATGGAGAAGGATGTATAATATGGAACATATAACTTAATAATATGCAGACACGGACACACGGTTTTACATTTTTTAATTATTAAGAAAAACAAAAAGTTTAGGATATAATTATAAAAGTTAAAAAAAAATGTTTTATATAGTTGAGATGTCAATTGTCACCTTTTCTTAGCTCTATTTCTTTGTCCATTCCTTGTGTTGAACATGAAGGTTCTGTTTTGTGTAGTCAAGTTTTATGCGATACTAATGGAAGAGAAATTCAACCCATGAGACTGAGCAATACTACTGTATTTTAGGTTTTTTTTTTTTTTTTTAATGAGAACACTGTATTAAGATTGACAAGTCCTTAATTTTCGCATTAACCATATCCACAAAGAAGAAAAAGATGATTGCCGTTTAAAACTTGATATCCTTGGTCAAAGTGGCTGTAAAAGAAACTAAAACATCTTGACTATTTCTACATATAAGGATAGATTTTTTTTTCAGGTAAGAAATATTTATATAACGTCATTTGCTTAATTTATTTTAGGAAAAATTATAGTAAATAACGAGCATTTTAAACTTGTAGAAGTAAATAAATCAACTTACCAATGTATAAAAAAATATGCCTTTTTCAGTTTTAGATTTTTCTTTTTCCAATTTTACCCTCAATTGCTTCCTAACTTTTTTCTCTTCTCAAACCACCCTTGTTCTCAACTTACTATATGGTAGACTTTCGTAATACATGTCTCTACTCTCTACTGCCTGATAGAGTATTTATAATAGACAGTAGAATCGATTTTCAAGCACTTTTATCATGTAATTTAAAATGTTCTAATATAAAACAAAACATGTTCTAATAATAAACCTCAAAGCAGGTTCAAAATGTATAACGTAGTGTCTAAAATAAACACATAAAAAAGAACAAGATTAAATTACAAATCAAGTCCCCAAACTTCGTCTCTGTATCAACAACAATAACAATAGCTCATCATTATTTTCATTAAACCATTGGTACGAGCCTCTCTGTTTCTTCCACTCTCCACCGTAACAAACCATAATTACTGTCTGAGACATTTCCTAAAGAAAATAATTAAAAATATATTACGTGAGACAATTAATATAAGATAAGATAACAAGTTTAAAAATGATTTTAAACCATTCAAAAGATAAATCAATTAATGAAAACTATAGCACATTCACCTTTCATAACTTATGATTAACATTGCAATACAAGAATGCCAAACTTTTACTATAAGCATAAACTCTCAAAGCACGCACTAAATAAATAAAGATTAACCATCAATAATTCAAATTCCTAAAAAAATTCTTTACCGTCTAAGTCTATACAATCCAATTTGCTTTGAATATGAATAATATAACAAGCAATAAGCCCTAAACATCCTAAATTCTAATATAATTCACAGTGAAACTCTACTGCCCTTTGAGCTCTACTGTTGTTTCTAGTAGAATCTCTATTGCTCATTGACAGTGCATCTCTACTGCGCAGTCGAGATCTCAACCGGATGCAGTAGAGATTATTAGTTCATCTTCAACCTTGATTTTTCATATTAAAAATCACAAATTCAATCTCAAAATGCAGAAAATGGTCTAATTCTTCAACATATAATATTATGAATGAAAAAACATGAAAACCCCATGGTTTAAATAAAAATTTAAAACAAAATCTAGATTAAATTAAATATTAACATACCTTCAAATCCTTAACTTCAAGAGTTTGATTTAAATGTAGAACCTCCATAAAATGAGTAAAATGGACAGATTTTCACCACATTTGGATGTTTAGTTGATCAAAAACTGACTTGTGTGGGTAATAATCTCTCTAGTGTATATAGGATGAAAAATGAGTATCTCCCCTCTCTCCTTCTTTCTTTTTTAAATGAGAAGATGATGTTTCTTTTTTATCTTTTTAATTTGTTTGCTCTCTTTTCTTTTAATGTTTATTATTTTAGAGAAAAAGGTATTTTTGGACACTCAATCAAATTCATTAAACTCAAGGGTATGCATCAAAACTTGTAACTTTTAAAGGTATGAAACTAAAGAGAAGAACTTTTAAAGAAATTTTTCTAAATCACCCAAATTTCTCCTTCTCAACTATAATTACTTTATTAACTTGCAATTTAACACATGATATTAATGATAATGTGCAAATTATCTCGGTGCACATACTACATACATAATTTAACACGTTTATAACATGCACGGAATGTAAAACAAAATAAGTTCATAACTTTCAAACGAGATCTTTATCAATTAGTGCTTGTATTGAAGATGGTTTAAGACAATCATTTTTTTCCTAGCTTGAGGGACAAAATAGTCAACTTCTTTTATGTACATAGACTACGGAGATATCAAGAATTAGCCATTAAGGTGTGTTTCGACCAATAAAAGTGACAGTTTAGTTGACTTTAAAGGTGTGAATTCATTAACATCGATTTCAATGAATACTACTAGCTAGCTATAGGACCATCGTGTTCATATTTCACTTTCATTCGGTAACTTATGTGTCAACGACTTTTGTGTTAAGATAATGCCCATACAAATTAAAACACTTTCGTCTCCATTAAGAAAAACAAAAAATCCATTTTCAATTTCAAAGATTTTGTGATCCAATTGCTATTTTCATATTTCTGAAACCACTGTGTATGGGGAAATATCATTATCAATATTTAGCGGCATCAAATACTTCACCGAAATTATATGACAAACATTTGCTTTCGCAAACTTCAGAGCATTGCAAATGTTATTATTTTATTACTATTCAGTATATCGTCCAGATTTAGGTGTTTTATTTCACAAGTTTGGACCAAAGTTCAAACTTTTTTGTTACAATACTTTTTTCTCTCAAAAATTTTAAATTTTTATTTAAATTTATTGCTCAAATCTAGGAATCAAACAATACCTGAGTAATTACGATATCAAGTAGAAATGAATGACATAAGTACTTTTGATGCCCTGGCCATACGTTTGGGCGAGTTATGAAACAAGTACGATTGCATATTTGGAAAATATCCGATTGCATAACAATTAGGGTATCCAGTACTTAATTAGTTATATTGCGACCAAACATTGAAATTATAATATAAGAAACACAGGTTAATGGTACGTACGTAATTAGTACTATGTTTTGTATCCAATTCATTATCGTGGATAGAACTTCAAAGTATGCGAACATGGTCCAAGCAAGAATTTCCATTGAGCTGGTTGCTTTGCTGAAGCTCCATGTACTCCCTGTATCTGATTCCACGATATGCCGGGAGATCGCGATCACGATCACAATCACGATCATCACCTTCCCAATTCACCAGCTCTTCAACAGGACTTACAATGGTGTCAAGTGATGGTCCGTGTCCAGTTCCTACAGATATTCTGGTCGCGTTGTTGTTAACCAAAGCCCGGTGCACCACGCTCTTGTACTTCCCATTTGTCAATATCTGATGATCAAGCAAGTAAAATATACTATATTAGTATACATCTTTCATTATAAATAGCAAAAATGACCAAGAAGAAGATAATGAGCTGTAGATCAAACGGGCATGCGATTATGAACCTCCTAGCTAGCTTATAATTAGAAGTTAATATTTCCAACTAGCTAGCTTATAAGTTTATCTCTAACATTTTCTATGTGATTCCGCCTATATTGTTTAAAATATATATATATATATAATACTAATGACTATTAGTTGATGATCAATAATTTTGAAATTTAGTACATACATGATAGCGCAGATTTATTACTTACAAATATTAATTATTTTTGTTACTTTTTGGTGTTTTTTTTATTGTGTCTTATCTTACTTTTGTAGGTTTGAGTTAAAATAAATAAAAAAGTCTTTAAAATAATAGAATTGAGAACCAAATCAAACCATAAAACCGCTACAGCACAATAGAATTCGCGTTGCAACGCGGACAGCAGAAAGGCAGTCTCAAGCCTGAGGCGGCCATATACCAATATATATATAATAAAATAGAAATAATAAATTAATGCCCCAAATAATTTGTAAATTATTGTACCTCCATATGGTCCCCACTGATAACGAGAAAAGAGTACGGAAGGGGATTGACAGGAACCCACCGGCTATCGTGCAACACTTGAAGCCCACAAAGTTGGTTCTGCATGAGGAGTGTCAATAGGCCATGGTCGGTATGAGGAGGCAATCCCATCGCAACGTCTGGCTCTGGGCAAGGCGGGTACAAATTTATGACCAAAAGCTGATGAGATAATCCCGATTCTATCTTCATTTTCTTGTTTATGTAGTTTTTTCCCAATCCCAAGCTTTCAGATATCCCTTTCAACAATTCACTCGCCACTTTTCGGGATCTTTCGCAGTATTCTCTCAGAGTTTCACTGTTAATATATCAATAATAAATAAATAAATAAATTTCGGTGAATATCGTTTTCCCCTCAAACTATAAGTCTTGTCATAAAATGTCTCTTGAATTTTAATTTTAGTTTTTTTTTTCTTCTAAATTTTAACAACTCTTGCAAATTTTTCCCTTCAACTAAATTTTTAATGAAAAATTTCACGTGAAATTTAAAAACTAACAATAAAAAAAACTCCGTATGTTAAAATTTTTAATAGAAATAACACATATTACACAACTAATAAGTATCATTGAACCATTTTTAATATACAATTACTCTGTTAGCCCTCATTATTTTGTTACACAGAATTGCAATTACGTCGTAGGAGTTATCATTTTTTTACTGCATTGACTTTCTCTTAATTTACTTGACCTAAGGAACCTTAGACATTTATCAATAGTGGCCAACAACAATAACAGAAGTAAAAATTTAACATAAGGGGGAAAATTTATAGGAGTTGCTGAAGTTTAGGGGAAAGAAAGCTAAACTTAGAGTTCATAGGCATTTTATAACAAGGACTATAATTAAAGAGGAAAACGTGTAATTTGTCCAAACTTTTATATATTAAATGATGTTTTCAACACTTGAGAATTACAAATGTGAAAGTTTCAAAAATATAGGAGAAATATTTGTCCATAATGATAACAAATTGTGGCTAAGCTAGAGTTTTTGTTTTCACCTTAAGCAATACCTTTCTTGGGTGAGCAAAGAATTTATATCAATTATATGACTCATTCCACAATTCTCTCATGCATGTTAGCGCTTTCGAAAGTTACTCAGAAGATTTTTTTTTCTTTTTACATAAATGAAGAGATTGAAACAACTAGCATCAAGGTTGTATCTATTTTCATTTTTCACAACTCATTGGTTGTCTACTCCATTAATAAAGTCAACAAAATTTAACAACTTGACTATAATTAAAAACTAAGTACTAAAAATATTTAGACCATTACAAAATAGGTCAAAATTTAATTGGATGAGCAACCATTTAAATTTAACATAATTGAAATCATTTATCTCATCTCAGTCATTGAAATATAGATTCAACTCTTACACCCTCTTCTTATCCATCCAACTCTCTAATATCTATCCAACGGCATATAAATTAAAATATTATATCACATCAATTAAAATGTCACTATTTTTAACTAATATGGATTAATAATAATGGGGGACACAAAAGGGGACGTAAAAGAGGGGAAAAAATATACAAATTGTGGTATACAAAAAGATTCCAGAAAAGGCTAACCGATCCTATGAACAAAATATATGATGAATAAAACATAAAAGCTGGAGGTTATAACAAGGAGGTTTTTTTTTCTTTTATGTTTTTGTTTCTTTTTCTGGTTTTGAAGTTGTATTTGATCCTATCAATATTTGTTAATTTCTACGCGGCTACAAGTTGGTATGTGCATTATACACGCAATACGAACTTTTTCTCTTTCTTTTTTTTGGAGAGGTAAACTGTATTCCAAATTAAAGAAGTACACTTGTAGACTTAGGCCTCATTCTTTATACAACTCGAATTACTACTTAAATTTTTTTGTAAGGTATTTTTTCTCATAAAAATTTAAATTTAACTTTTTATTATATTATTTTCTCTCACATAAATTCACTTTTCAACTTAAAGTTCTCAGATTGAATCAATGAAAAGAACACCCCCTTAATTAATCTCGCAATACAAGAAACGTAGATGACGTTTGGTTCATAGGTTCAAAATCATGCTTCATAATTCTGATTTTTAAAATTTAAATTTTTTATAAGAGAAAAATACTGTAGCAGAATTAAAAACTATGATCCTAAATTAAACAGAACTCTTAAAACAAACATCACCTTAATCTCAATCATAGACCGGTCCTAATATGAACTAAGCCGATAGGAGCAGTACACTTTATATTACAGCTAGGTAGAGGGTACAGGACGCCGGGACCCCTCCTACTTTTTGTAGTCTCTTTCTGTGGCCACCAATTTAGGTATGATATCGAGAGCTTAACTAAATTGGTGGCCACAACTCTTCACGTGCATGCTCGTCGGCCATAGGTTTTGAATTAGAGTCCCCCACTCTTGAGAAGCTTTATCGATTTGTTTCCTTTCCCCTTGCCTTTGCCTTTTTCTTTTCCAAGTTTTCATGGTTTCTTATTGTTAAGAAAAATACTAAAAGACACCATCGGTATTAAGCAGCCCCACTAATAAAAGGTGGGTCTCACTTGTAGTCTCACATTATAGATTTACATTTTATTAGCGGATGATGCTAAGCATCATCAGTACCCATTAGTATTACTCTATTAATTGCTAATTCTTCCTTTTTTTTCTTTTGTTTTTTTTGTTTTTTTTTTTTTTTGCCATGTTCTAGTTCGTTATACTTTTTTATCTATGTGATGGAATAGAGGAGAACTTGACGTATGATTTTTTTAAAAGGAAGGAATAAAACATGATCACATGGATTGCTTATTTGAAGTCTACAGTTATACCTGAACTCAACGGGCTTCTTAGGAGCATTGAATTGAGGATGAACATGGATTTTGAGGTAATCCCTCCAAAATAATGTCTTGTCCACACTTACGTTGAAGCTCGTTCCCCACCTTATCGGATCGAACAATGTTTTCCCCGCGTAATCTCGCTTATCTTCTTCTTTCAGATCAAAGAAATCTTCACTCACTTTAATAACCTCGTCCATCAAATCTTGAGAAACGCCATGGTTTATAAGCTGAAAGGTTGTCAAAAGTATTAGCAAACTAGCCAGTGCTCAAAACATACATAACGCACTGGTTATCTATTTATATATATATATATATACACACACACACACACACACACACATATTTAGATATATACACTCACACATATAATACATATATACCATGAAGAAGCCCCATTCGCGGCATGCATTGCCGAGATCACTGATGACTTTGGACCTTTGATCTGGGTTACCAGAAGTCAGCAGAGAGAAATCGATGGTGGGGATCACTTTTGCTTCGTCTGGAATATAGTGGACTACAGAATTATCGTCGCTTCTTGGGAAGACATACTTGGATGGCATAGATTTGGCACAAAAACCAGACTCGACAAGCTGTTTGACAGAAAACATACTAGCAGTAGACATCCTGAGTATTATTTTAGTGGAAAATTGAGTCACGGAATATGTTGCATTATTGAATCAAATGGTGCTGCATATAAATAGCCAGAGATGAAGAGGACACGGTCGCTGTCACTGCATTTAAACGCTAGGACACACATTATAACAAACCAAAGAAGTTATTGAAGCTAGTTGGATCGGTATTCGATAACAGTTCTTATCGGGATAAATTACGAAAATTCCTCCTCAATTATAGACCTTGTAATAATATATCCCCTAATCATTCATAAAGTAACCTTCATTCCCTTAATTCTGGTGGTTTTAATTCTTCTTAGTAATAGAAGCCACATGCCGTACGCTATATAAAAAATTAAAAATTAAAAAGATAGTAATTTAGGTCATGACACGATAACACTACTCAAAACCCGCATAAAGTTAGCGGGTTAGGTTTATTATAAATGAGTTTCGGTCATAATAATCGGATTGATACGAGTGACACGATTAATAAATGGGTTGGGTTAGAGTTGACCTTCTAACACGAAGTGATATGAAGACAAGATTAAATATATGTGTTATTTCTAAATTAATTATAAATAATATAAAATAAAACATCATATTATGTATTAAATACAAATAAATGAATTTTGAAATTTTTAAATAGATTTTACTTGTTCTCTTAAAAAAATAAAGATATATAGATCAATAAAACTGTTAAACGTGCTATAATCGTGTTAAAGAAATTCTAATTGTATCAGTTATTTATTCAATATATTACTTTAAATGAATTACGCGGGTTGACACGATTAACACGATTAATAAAATAGATCGTGTTTGGGTTGACATTTTTAACACTTTTAATAAATGAGTTATGTTTAAATTGGTGTTCTCTAACACGATTAACTCAGGTTGAATGCAAACACGACTCATTAACACGAATTGTCACCCTAAGCCATTCACAAAGTAAGACACGAATGAAATTGTACGTGCGCAATGTGCGCGATCTTACACTTAGGTTGAGGGATCAACATGTTTATAAAATGTAAAACGTGTGTTTACATTATCAGCCAGAAAAATCTAGACAAGTGGCCGATCGATCAGCCACACGATTTGGTTCAGCTGACTCTTGGCTACATATGCGTGTATATGTTTCATTTCTTGCCGACTAATTTCGAGCAAATGGAAACAAAATCAATAGCTTTCACATGTACGTCTGTTAATTTGTGCGCTGAATTGTAAACGTACGTGAGACACAAAAACAGTTGAAGGAATACGGACTTGTCACTTCTTGAAG